ATATATATTTTCCTATATTCTTAAAATTCTTCAACAATATAAGTTTTATCTTATGAATAGACCATAATGCTTTTTGGGACATTTAGGTGGTTTCCAACTCTCTTCTATTATAAATGATGCTACAACAATATTCTTTTATCTTAAAATCTGTATGTGCATCTCTGATTTTTGACTTAGGATGCATTTCCAGAAGACTTAGTTTGGCTGAGTCGAAGCATATAAACTTTAAAAGTTTTGTAACTATCGTGCCAAAATATTCTCCAGAAGAGCTGCTGTATCCCTCCTTTCACCAGTGCAGGAGACTGTTTTCCAGAACTACCATATCGAACACTCTAGGTGAATGGTGCCTTGGGAATGACGGGACTGTTGCCTCTCTGTGCTTATGCAACATTGGGAATTATAATTAAAACACCAGCCAAAAAATGCTTGCCAACACTACTGGTAAAATAAATATCTTTCTTATAAAATAATTTGCATTTCTGATCATTAGTATTGTTAATTATTTCCACGTGTTTAAAGGTTATTTTTTACTTATTCTTTTTTTAAAAAAAAATTTTTTTTGAGACGGGGTCTTGCTTTGTTGTCCAGACTAGAGTGCAGTGGCATCATCCTAGCTCACTGCCACCTCAAACTCCTGGGCTCAAGTGATCTTCCTGCCTCAACCCTGAGTAGCTGGGACTACAGGTGTGCCATGCCCAGCTAATTTTTCAATTTTTGGGAGAGAAGAGGTCTTGTCATGTTGCTCAGGCTGCTCTAGAACTCCTGGCCTCGAGTGATCTTTCCACGTCAGCCTCCCAAAGTGCTAGGATTACAGGCATGAGCCACCACGTCTGGCTTATTCAACCTTTTCTGGTGACTTGACCATTGTCCTGTGTTTGGGCCATTTTTAATCAGAACATTTGAATTGTTTACTGATTTGTAAAAAGCTTTTTTATTTAATATGGGTATTAAACAACAGTAGAAAGAATAGTATAGTGAACCCAATGAACACATCCCCCAGTTTTAATAATGATCAATAAGCTTTTTGGTTTATTTTTTTTGATCTACTGAAGTTTCACATTTTTGTCAAATCTTTTACTTTTTTACGTCATATCTTCTTTTGCGTTTAAGTTTAGAAAGGACTCCCTCACTCTCAGTCATTCATCATCTTAGTATACCACATAAATTTCTTTTTACATTTAATTTTTTATTTCACTTGAAATTTATATTGATATGTAGTAAGAAGTGAGGATCTAAAATTCTTTTTGTAAACAGACAGTTGTTCGAGCATCATTTATTAAGTAAGTTTTCCTTTCCCTACTGGTGATATCTCAAACCAGTATACTATTACTTAAATACAGAGGAGCTGTTCTGGGTTTCTAATTTGTTAAACTGATTTGTCTATTTTTATGTGAGTACCATAATTTTAATTATTTTTGCTACAAAATAGATTTTAATAACTGAATTTTTAAAAATGATAAGATTAGAATCAGTTCCTACACAACTTACCTGTTTACACCTTTTAACAACATCTGGCCCGGGTATAGCATTATGAAGAGATATGATAAGGTAACGATTTAGCAGCTTTCCTAGTCCTAACTCTCGCAAGGTGTCATCTGGGAGGAGTCCATTCCAAAGAAGAATGTTGCTGAAGAGCTAAAATAAGATATCAAATAAATATGCACCTTTTCTTGAAAGAGAAACTGTAATAGTCTCTAAGAAACATAAAGAGTTGGTCAAACTCTTAAACTCTCACTACAATTAGCTGTTGGAACTGTCAATTTTCGTATAGAACATCTCTGAATAAATACCTGATTCTTTCTAACCTCCATGTATTTGCTCATCTTATTTTATT